AAACTCTCAAAGCAACATGCCCTGTCCAGGACAGTTTCACCCAACTAACCGTAGTGACATTACTAAAACATTAAACCATAGAAAGCAAGAAAAAAAAAAAAAGGAAAATGTCTGACTAGAGGGGGAGACACATGCAGGTTCATCTCACACTCTCATTTAGAACTCCTTCCCGGCATGGAGAGATATCTCGGCAGCTAAGAGTGTCGGCAGCACCCAGGGAATGGAGCTGTCCCACAGGTGCCCTAACTCTAGCTCTGAGAGATCACCCTCTTCACCCTCTGTCACCCTCTTCTGGCCTTACGTGGTTAGGCGTGTGCACCTGCACACACACACACACACACACACACACACACACACACACACTAACAAGAATCCTTCTGGGCCCCTAAACATTTGCCTCACAGGCAGGAGCGTGTGTGTTCTTCCTCCTTTCGTTAGGGTGATCACACGAGCGGCGTTTTCTTCATGGTTTCGTTTCCTGAGCCTCTGGAACCTGGAGCCTCAGTCTCCGTCACCCATTTACACTTGGATTTTTATTTGTATGTGCAGGGGTGACCATGGCGGCCGGAGGAGGGCGTTGGAACCCCAAGGCTGCAGTTATGGATGGCTGCGAACACCCAGCGTGGGTACCGGGAACCAAACTTGGGTCTTGTGCAAGAGGAGCAGGCGCCACTGACTGTGAGCCATCTCTCCGGCCCCGAGCGAACCTTTTCATACAGCCAGCTAATAGAACAAGATGCCTCTTGAGTGGCAGGCTGGGTGGCTACCAAGTGGAAAGTGTTTCATAGCTACCTGCCAAAGCACTTCTGCTAGCTTTGATCACGGCGCGCCTTCGGGTCAGGCTCTTAATTTGATAAAACTGGATATAAATAAAATATTAAGAGAGCTGGCAAGCAAAGCAGCAGGCAGAGCATTCTGTTCCGAGAGGCGAATGCCTGGCCATGCAGGGCCTGGGAGGGTTCTGCTAATTTCCTTCATGAAAGAGTTTGGCAGAGGGGTGCCAGCACCTGAGTGGGCACTAGTTCAAGGCGGTGATGGGTAAGCAGGGAGGCCAGTTGTGGCCGGCTGGAGGCCAGCTATGTTCGGCTGAAGTGAATGTAGTCTGAAGAGATCCACAGGTTTGCTCCAGGTTGGGTGTGGTTTGAACAGGTCCCCAAAGGTTCATGTGCTTGGTCCCAGTAAAGCAGTGCTGAGGGGGCAGAATCTTTGACTATGGACCCAGAGAAAGGTCACCAGGTCTGGGACACCATCCTGAAAAAGAGCCAGTGCTACCAGTCTAGTTGCACTGGGACTGCTTTTCCTTCCTTCCTTCCTTCCTTCCTTCCTTCCTTCCTTCCTTCCTTCCTTCCTTCTTTCCTTCCTCTCTCCCTCCTTCCCTCTCTCCCTCCATCCCTCCTCCTTCTTTCTTTCTTTCTTTCTTTCTTTCTTTCTTTCTTTCTTTCTCTCTCTCTCTCTCTCTCTCTCTCTCTCTCTCTCTCTCCAAAGAGCATGCCTATTCGTTCTTGCTCCCTGCCTTACTATGTGGTCTTTCCTCTGCACATGCCCCTGCCACAATCCCAGTTGCCCTGGTGTGATGTAGCCAGGTGGCCCTCAGAGCCGAGGACATGGCAACACCAAACTGAGCCTCTAGACCAGTGAGGCGAACAAACTCCTTCTCTTCGTAAAGCCTCAAGCTGCAGGTGTGGTGTGACTGCAACACGAAGCTGGCTAACTTTTCTGTTTGTCCCTGCTTAACACTCACGTGCCTCATCTGTGCAGAACTCTCACCAAGCAGAGTTCTGCAAGTGCAGAGTGTCCAGCCTGCTCTCGGGGTGGTCCCAAACTTCCGTCCCCCTTGTGCTCAGCGCTGTTGGCTGATGACCTTCCTCTCCTGCTGTGTCCTGTCAGTGGAGACAGAGCTCAGCAGACTGTGCCAGCCCTGAGCCTATAGGAATCAGGGTGCACCCCCATAAAGACGTAGGTAGGCCAGCAGCTGAAGAGACGCACACCAAGGGGCCCGGGAGATGGCTACAAAGCCAGCCTTTCCCTTCCATTCTGAACTTGGCCCGTCGTCCCTCTTCTAACGGCTCCTGCAGGCCTGAGTGGGCCGGGGGATGTGCAGCTGAGGTCCTGTGTGGTCTTAAGTGCAACCAATGGGGCCATAACAGCACGACTGCAGGGTTCAGCCCACGGGGCTTCCTCGCCGTGCAGGGCGGGGCTGTCTCTCTGAGCAACTGGTGACTTCATATCATGACCATCAAAACAACAGGAGGAGCTGGGCACAGTGGCGCACGCCTGTAATCCCAGCACTCAGGGAGGGGGAGGCAGGCTGATCGCTGTGAGTTCCAGGCCAGCCTGGTCTACAGAGTGAGTCCAGGACAGCCAAGGCTGCACACAGAAACCCTGTCTCAAAAAACCACAAGGAAAACAACAACAAAAAACCCCAAACCAAATGAAAACAACAACCACACACACAGAAAAAAAAAAAAAAAAAAAAAAAAAAGAACTAGAGGTTTCTGAGCCCCCTCCCTAGGCCCCAGAATTGCTGTGAAGCTCTTGACAGTGAGCCCTGGTCTCAGCAGTGATTCTCCAGGCCCTGGGAACAGGCAGGAGCTGGCTCATGGGTCTTTAATCTCTACTCAGCTGCTTGTCTGGGATGCCGCTCTGTGGCCAGGTGGGTCAGGGGCTCCCTGCTCAGCTTGCTTATCTGGGAGCTCTGGCACTTGTCTGACTGTTGTGATGCAGGCTGTGCTTACTGAGCCCTGTTCTCAGTAACACTAACGTTCCAGGTTTCAGGAGTAACGTCAAACGCAGTGCCGAATGTGACCCTCACCTCCGGGCTTATGTCATTCAACAGGAGGTACAGTCTCACTTCGTGACACCAGCTCGGAAGTGTGACCCTTGCTGAGGCCGACGTCACCTATCCCATGTTTCAACGCTTCAGAAGTTAAAGCAGCACTAGGGAGCGGCAGTTCTGGGAACCAGTTCCATGAGAAGATTGTGGACACAGGGTCAGTGGGTGTGGCTTTCTGCACATAGGGACACAGATGTGCCCTTGACCCTGGAAGCAGCACATTGGGCCAGATGCTGTCTCATTTCTTACTCAGCATGGCATGTGATGGGAGAGGGAGGTGGTGCTCGCACGCACGCACGCACGCACACACACGCACACACGCACACAACCTAACGTGTGCAGGTAAGAGCAGGTGTCTGCAGAAAGCCACTCTAAGGCCCAGCCCTCCTCCTGCCTCTATGGAGATTGCATCCTCAGCAGTCCAGTTTTCAGTTCTTGTGCAGGGCTGGTTGAGGCTTGCCGGTGGACTAACCCTGTGCAGAACTGCTCCTTAACTGGATCTGTGTGTCTTCCAGCAGGTGCGTTCTGGGTTCTGGGATCAACGCCTTCCAGCCTGACTGCTCTTAGGACACTGGGCTTAGGGAGGCCAGCGTGTTCAGGGAATTCTCCCGAGAACAAACCTCGAGTAGCAGTGAGCTTGCCGACTAAGAACACGGAGACCATCCATGTCACAGGAGTGCTGTTTCCCTGGCTCCTGGCCACAGCCTGGTGGGGAACAGCGGAGGGCCCATAGTCTGAGCAGTCAGTGCTGAGGGTAAATGGAGGGAGAGGGGATGGCCAGGCCTTTCCCAGGCTTCGTCTGATACCCCACTATTTCTCTAATTAGTTTTCACAAGAACAACAGGATGCTGGTTAATTTCTACACTGTGCATGGAGAGCAGAGCTTCAAAGGAGAAACAAAGCCACTCCTGCTCTCAGTCACCGTCACGTTTGCACGCACACACACACAGTGCCAGGGCTTACCCTGCCCTTCCCTCTCGGCCACCGGGAAACAATTGCCAACCTCCCGGGGTGGAAAAGGCCCTCCACGGGAGCTCCGTGCAGTGTCTCCCTGGCAGCAAATGACTTAGGGCTTTGCATTTTGGATTTAGATGATGGTATCTAAATGGATTCTCTGGTTTTTGCTTAAGTGTCTTTGAAGGCTTTTCTTTTGGAGAATTTTTGAGACAGTGTTATTAAAGGGTGCTGGCGTGTACGACCCGCACCCCCTGGGGAGAGAGGGGCTAGAAATGAATTGAGAAAACAATAAGCTTCAGCCTGCATGTGCCAGGGAGACAGACTACTGGCTCGCCTTTCACCTCCCAACGACTCTGCCCTTTTTAGTGCCAGTGCTCCACATGCCCACTGTGATGTCCAGCGAGGCACCCCAGGCTGGCAGAGTGATAATTTAGTACACATACGGCCCTGGGTTCAATCTCCAGTGCTGCATTAACCAGGCGTGGTGCATTCTTGGCTTGCACCAGGTTCAGGGCCAGCCTGGGCTACATGAGACCCCATCTCAAGAAAAAACTGCCCCACAGAAGGTACCCTGCACCTGTTTCTAAGGTTCACAAACCTCCTGTAGGGTAGAAATGATTATGAATGCCAACCTGTGACTGCTCAGCTTATGAATTTTCATCTTCACGCTGCTTTCAAAGTGATATACATCCAGCAAACTACGCACTACGGATTCTGCTCTTTTCCCAGGCTGTGGGTCCAGGAAAGCCTGTTCTCCTTGTGAGTACAGTATTCAACAAAGCACACTGCCAAGCTTTTATGGTAAGACAGGCTTTCTGTTAGAAGGCTCTGTGCACCTAAGGTGTGCCAGCACTGGGAGAGAAGCTGGGGCATGTGAGGCTGAGCGGGGGTGTTCTGTAGGCGCGCGCGCGCGCGCGCGCACACACACACACACACACACACACACACACACACACTGACAGACGCTTCCATTCACCACAGGTTCACCGGCCATGTGGTCCCGGCGGAGGTCATAGTTCATGTAAAGCTCCTCCCCCCATTTTACAGATGAACAAATGTGAGGTAGCTTGCTCCAAATCATACTGCTTGGTCTGCAGGAGAAGTCTAAGAGTAAGCGAGTCAGTTTACACCTGAGGGTCTGTGACAGCGGCCACACAATCCACCTTCTACCTCTGCCCAAGCACGTGAGCGCAAAACCCTCCCCTTCTACCTGCAGAACTCTCCTTCAGGCTCCGGCAGCAGCAGCGAGGCTATGGGGTTCTTCACCAAGTCAGCCACTGCAGGGTCCTTGGCTGTCACGTAGAAGAAAGGCGTCCCTGTGCTGTTTTGTAAGGGGCCGTCGCTGATGGCCAGGCAGCTCCCAAACGGCAGTCCTGGGATCTAGCAAATGAACAGCGAAAGGGTTTTCAGTAACAGAACTCTGGGGAACAGGTGCTGGGGCAAACAGTGTTCAGCATGAGGGCTTGGCCCACCCTGTGCCACCGTGGATTGGACAGGAAGCACACTGAGCTACGTGGTCCCAGTCTAAGCAGGTCACCCAGTGATGGCTTCCGAACTTCTGTGGGGGGATGCAGGTAAGAGCATCCTGTCTGGAGGATAAAGGAATATCCTGGATAATGCTGGGAAGGACCGCAAGGGCGTGAGGAAGAAGACAGTGCTGGCCCCCACAGGCTCCTCTCAAATACCTGAGGCCTCTGTCTTACTCTTCGTTCTTTCTAAACTTTAGGGATAGAGTTTAGCTCATTTTAATAAGCTGCCTGGTCCTCTTTGGAGGACAAGAGTATTTTATATTGTTTCAGTTGGAGCAACATTTTATTATTAGCTGTATGTTACACTGTGATCAGTAACTTTTCAGTGACACAGTGAACGCATTATGGGAAGATGACATGTGAGGCACCTGCTAGCGTAAATGGGAGTCAGAGAAGCATGGCATGCCCATCTCTCCCTGTGTTCATCCCGTGACGTCTTTATGTGATTTTAAGCAAAAGCACTGAAGTCTTGGCTTTCCCCAACTCCACCACACCTGCCTTGTCCCTTCCAAAGAACTGTCCTGTCGGTGAGGCCGCCATTGCTTTCTGCGCCCCGGACACAGTGGGCAAGACTCTGAAAGGAAGGGCGCTAGTCATTTAGAAATATAAAAGATTAACAAGTTCTCCAAATGGTCATATTACATCACCCGCAGATTCTATTTTCAGGCGGTCGTGAAACGCCCAGCCTCACACGGAAACGTTTTCTGATTTTACTAATCAACGTTGGCAGGGGAAGGCCGAGGGACGCTAACAGAAGAGCCCCCGAAGGTCAGGGCGTCTCCAATCCGAGGACAGCGGATGCTTTCTCTTGTTTGCTTGTTTGTGTTGGTGAGGCAGGACCTGCATACACAGCCAGACCTGGCTTTGAATTCACAACTCTCTTGCCTTAGCTGGGTTACTGCTGGGGCTACAGGAGTGGGCCACCAAGCCTGACTGGTGTCCCTGAGCATGTGGTGCCCGCGCGCACAGTGTGTATCTGTGGAGCCCAGAGATCATTGTCCTGGCTTCCTGGGGTCATTCCTCAGGGTCCATTACTGTTATGACTTTTAGGCAGGGTCTCTCGCTGGCCTGGAACCCCCAAGCAGGCTAGGCTAGCTTGCCAGCAAGCCCCAAAGAGCCGCCTGGCTCAACCTTCTCGTCACTGTGATTACAAATTAGTGCCACCACACTTGGCACCATTGTGTTGTTGGTGGTTTTTTAAACATGGGTTCTGAAGGTTGAATAACTCAGATCCTCAAGCATTCTGCTACTGAGCCATTTCCCTAGCTTCAGGCAGTAGATTTTTAATTGTCTGAAATGATTTGTTTTAAGTCAAGATTAACGTCATATTTAAGCCTCGTGTTTGATTAAGGTATATGTCAGAAGCGTAAAAATGATTTGAGCGCTGGGAACACAGACCTGGCTTAGGCTCTGCCTAGTGAATTGCTTAGTTTTATAGATGGGAAAGCAGGGTGCTTTGGCCACGCTGGGTTAGTGAGACCAGCGCTGACGCGAGAACCAGACTCTCACACCGTGCCGACAGATGACCTAAAGCCGCTAGCCCTTCCGTGCACAAAATAAACGGGATCTCAGATCACGTCTGTCTGTCAGGACTAGAAGCTTTCTAGAGGCTATTCTTCTGGAACACGAAGCCTCAGGACCACTACACGCCATGCTGGGAGGAAGCAGTTAACACGCGAATGCAGCCCTGTGGCCCGAAAGAGGGGACCTGCAGCTTAGACAGCTCCCTCAGGCAGGTTCCCTTTGCCTAAGTCGGCTTTCTGAAAGCCCGAGTCCCATTTTCTTTTTAAGCGTAAATTCCTGCCAGTGCACGGACGGTGCTTCTCTCCCACGCCCACTCGGTGTGGGAGGCGGTGCCGGAGGCGGCCTGCAGGACACTGCTGGAGACCGCAGGGGCTGGACGCGGCTGGTCTGCTAGGTCAAAGGCGACCTGCGCGCTTTGCGGGTCTCCGGTTTGTCGCCAGTTATCTGAGCATCTCTTTGGCCATCTTAAGACAGGGATCCGGCCTCTGACCACAAGACCGTTCGCCTCCCTCCCCGCTCGCAAGCGCTTGGCCGGGTGAACCGACTCGCGCACACTCCGTTATTGACAAGGCACCCACAGTCTTCGCGCGTGTGAAACCCGAGTCCTGTGCCCCGGGAGAGCCCGGGAACTGCCCGGCCAGGGCGAGGCGCGCGCCGCCCCCGCCCCCGGCCTACCTTTTCGTGGGTGGACGCGGTGGCCAGGCAGCCCCAGGAGCTGGCGTGCGCCAGGGAGCGGGCGGTGGCGGCGCGCGCCCCGGGGCCGGGGGATGGCGCGGCCGGGCCGCCCTCCCGCCGGTAGGAGAACATGCCGCGCGGGGCCGGGGCGGGCCTGGCGCGGCCGGAGCCCCGAGGCCGCAGGTGCGTGTCCTCCTTGTGCGCCGAGGCCGGGAAGCTCTGCTGCCAGATGCTGCCCGAGTCCTCCAGCAGCGCGGGCAGCGCCTCCTCGGTGGACGCGCTGTCCAGCTCCTCGTCCACCTCGCTGGTGACCGCCCAGGACACGGAGCTCACGATCACGTAGCCGGCGGCCGGGGCTAGCAGGGCGCTGCAGCACAGCAGCCACGACAGGCGGGTGCCCCGCTCCCCGCCGGACAGCGGCATCTTCCCGCAGGCCGCGCGCCCTGGGGCGGGGAGCCAGCCAGGGGCGCCCCCCGGCGGCCGAGCGCGCGCCTGAGCCCCTTCTCCCGGGTGGCGGTTCGCGAGCAGCTCCCGCGTGGGGGCCGGGCGGTGCCCTTATCGCCCCACTCCCCCGTGAGGAGTGAGGTCTGCAGGACCAGGCTCCCCCGGCTGCGCACACTGCCGCCGCCGCCGAACGCAGAATCTGTGCCACAGCGTTGGCACAGTCTCTGCAGGACGGAGGGTGGGCGGTCACAACTCAGGCTCGCCGCACTCCTCCGCTGGACAGCTGTGCGACCCCGCCAGTCCTTGGTGGCCTGCCGTCAGCAACACAGGCTAAGGGCGCACTGCAAAAGCACCTTGTTCCGGTAAGGGGTTTAATAGATGGCAAATTGACTTGAAATTAATTATGATTTCTTACCTCGTCTTAATGACACCCAGACTTTGTCCCACCAGAAAACATTTTCTATAGCTTGCATTCCTACACTGCAGGAGTCCCGCGCTAACTGGTCCCATGAAATATACCTTGCTGCAGGATTTGAGTTTTTCCTCCGTCATGTCCCTAGTGTACCCAGCCGCGCTCTGATACCTCCCGCGCCCCATCCTGCCTGGATGCCTGCTTGCCAGAGCATCCTACCAGATTGAAGCAGCCGGCCTCTCCCTTCTGCATGGGGGAGGGGCTTCTTTTCTTTCCCTGGCTGCCCCTGGCTGCTCTGTTTCTTTTCCCACCCTGCTCTCTGTCTGCTTTGAAACATTGATGTTTCAATGTGGGGAGACATCTTGTTTCCCGCCGCTCTCTCCCTAACCTGGCTCTCCCACACCCTCTCACTCCCTTTCCCCCCACCCTCGCCCGTTCTGAGGAACATGCGTTCTGTCTTCTTAAGAGGATGGATGGTTAGCCATTGCAACACCAGCCTCTGCAGGCAGACATGAGAGCACACACCTGTTATCACAGCACTTGGGAGATGCAGGCGGGAGAGTCACAAGTTCAAGGTCACCCTTAGCTAGTTTGCAACTTTGCAAGCAGCCTAGCCTACACGAGATACCATCTCAAGATGAAACATAAAAACCAACAACTTCTCCTCCCCAAAATATGCCTTCCGGATTAAAAATAATCCAGATCCTGCTCACACTTCTGCCTTTGTCTCATCTGCAAATTGGGGACTGTGACCTCTCCCTTGCCAGGTTTTGGATGTCTAGTGTTGGGGGAGTGCTTATCGGAGGGAAAGGGAAAAGGGATTGATCTAATGCACTAGTCTGGGAAGAGGACCTGCACAGGTGGCCTCAGCTCCTACTTGGCTTTTCACCGCAGGCCCCATCCGCCAGTTGTGCAGGCTGTGCCGCTGCTCTGCCTAAGCTGTGACTGAAGAGTGAGTTCAACTATAGAACCTTCCAGGAGTCCTGCTTGGTGGACATTTCCCTGTTATCTTTCTTATTACCCCCTTTGTGTTCTCTGGCTCTTTATTTTCTTGCCCCAAATAGACCCAGACTCAATGCAGATTTGAGGAGAACATCAGCTGGGAGCCGGCAGGTATCCAGTATGTGGCAGTAGACTGTGTCATTGGCCTCCAGGGATCTCCCGGCCTGTCACTCAAAAAGAGAATTCCCCTCAGGTTTCTCGCATGCCTGTGAGGTCCAGGCCAATTGGGTTAGTCATGGGAAGCTGGACACAGCGCGTTTGTCTCTGTGGGCCTGTTAGAGGCCTATCTAGTTGGTAAAGCTCTGAGCAGGAGTGTGAATAACTTTGATAGATGATGTCAAACTAGCTTACACAGCAATTACACTATCAGAGGATGAGTTCCTATATTTCTGCATTCTTATCTGTTTAGATTATTGTCATTAGTAGAGAAGCAAAGGCAGTTACAATGATAGTTACTCGTTAATTTCTTTGCTTTAGCCCGATGACCAGTGGGTCTTATAGTGATTTTGTTTTGAAGTTTTTTTCTTTGACACAGGATCTCTCAACATAGCTCTGTTTGATTTCTTCCTCCCCTTTTACATTAAATAATTAATTAACATATATTTACATCATTTACCTCCTTCCTTTCCTCCCTCTATTCCCTCCCCCGGCTTTCCCTCACTCCCTCCCCGTTCATGGCCTCACTGTCTTTACTCTTGGTACTTATGTAAACACAGAGGTGCAACCGTTTAGTGTTGCTGTGTGTCTGTGACCTCAGGGCTCACCAGTTGCTTTCGTGTAACTGTTAGGGGCTCCTCCCTGAGGACATGTTCTCTCTCGTCCAGCAGTCTTCAGTTGACCGCAGCGCTCTGTCTATGGGGGGGCCCTGTGGGATCCCCAGCCCACGCTCACACATCCATGTTAACTGATGCGCTTCTTCGTTGACGTGCTTCTCCGGGTCCCGCTTAGATGGACAGGTAGTTGTGGCATCGTGGGCAAAGCATCGTCCTAGGAGACACAGTCACACAGCACGCTTGGTCCTCTGGGTCCTGTTATCTCCAGCGCGGGTTATTTTCTGGGTTTGTTCCTGTCCACTTTTAGGTAATGGCCATCCCGGCAGGTGTGACTTGATGCATCACTGCCAATTTTTGTTTATTCCTCTCTGGTGCTTACTGATGCTAGCTCCTTTTCATGTGTGCTCTGGCCACCTATATGTCTTCTCTGTAGAAAAGGTCGTTTAGGTTCTCTGCTCGTTTAAAAAATCAGGCTTTATTTTTATTGTTGTTGAATTGTAGGGGTCCCTTATGTATTTCAGATGTATTCTGACCTAGTCTGCCTCCTGTTAATGTGATAAAACGCTCTGACCAAAAGCAACTCGAGGGGTGTGCTAGTTTGCTTTCTGTTGCTGTGATAGAACACGGGCCAAAAGCAGCCTGGAACAAAAGGGTCTATTTTGTCCCCAAACAGGTCATAGTGTGTCCCCTGGGTCACCATTTGCCGAGGGTATCCTTCTCCATTTTTCTACAGGTCTGTGCACGTTCTGAAGTCTAAGCGTGCCTGTGTGAACAGTCTCATCAGGCCTCCCCCTTCAGTATTTCACTCACTCCGTGTCTTCCACTGGGCAGTGTAATTAAGCCAATTAATATTTAAAGCGTTAGCAGTGGGGAAGGCCCTGTGGTCGCCATTTGGCTGCTTCCTGTCTCGGAGCTTCTGTCCCTCTTACCATCTCTTGCTGCCTTTTGTATTTCACCGAGTTTCTTTGCTCTCAGTCCTGACAGTCATTATTTTTCCATTTTCTTTGTAGGTCAGCCCACTTCAGACTCATGATAACTTTTTGCTTTGATTGCTCACACACATCTCATACTTTTGCGTCCTCTGACCTTACGTCATCAGTGTCGCACACTCTATCTTTTGTATTGTGTGGACGGTAATATGCTCTTCCAGTTGTGCTGATTTGTTGTCTTTTAACTTCTTTATGAAAAGTTTTGTTGTTATCTTACTTCTGTCTTTGGAGGTTCGCATGCACCACGTGTGCCCAGGTCTGGAGAGGCCAGACAAGGGTGTCAGATCCCTCGGCCACACAGTTACAGGAACTTGGCAGGTGCTTGCCGTGGGTGCTGGGACAAACCCAGGTTTCCTGCAAGTGTTCTTAACTGAGCCGTTTCCCCAAGAGCGTGGCTTTTGCACTATACCAGTCTCGGAGTATTTGCAGTTGTCTGTGTGTTCACCTTAGTGTCTGTCGCTGTTCTATTGCTGTGAAGAGACACCATGAACGTGGCAACTCTTACACAAGAAAACATTTACTTAGGGCTGGCTTAGAGTTTCAGAGGTTTACTCTATTATTGTTACGGCAGGGAGTATGGCATCACATAGGCAGACGTGGTGCTGCAGAGTAGCTGGGAGTTCTACCTCTGGATCCAAGACAACAGGAAGAGAGAGGGAAGGGGGGGGAGGAAGGGAGAGGGAATATGGGAGAGAAAGGATGGAAGAGGCAGGATGGGAAAGAGAGAGGTTGGGAGAGAGAGAAAGAGAGGTGGGGGGTAGGAGAGAGGATGGGAGAATGAGGTTGGGAGAGAGAGAGGTTGGGAGACAAAGACTGGGCCTGGCTTGATGTTTTGAAAGCCCAAAGCCCACGCCGAGTGACACACTTCCTCCAACAGGACCACACCTCCTAGCCCTGACAAGCCAAGCCTCTCCCTGACGGCTGAGCGTCCAGCGAGCCCACGGGGGCCATCCCTGCTGACACCCCCATACCTGGCTGACAAGGCCGGCACTTTGGTCTCATCTCCTGCAGCCGTCTCTCAAAGACGGCACCGGAGCATTTCTTGTGGTCAGATGTGATAGTGACAAAGTTCGTAGTTGTCTGTGTGTTCTGTTCACCTTAGTGCCCCAGTCACTATTCTACGGCTGTGAAGTGACACCACGACCACGACAACTCTTATAAAAGACAACACTTTTGGTTTTTGGCCTCGTTCATCTGGGAAAATCTTCTTCCCCCTTCATTTTTGTAAGGCGGTTTCCCAGATATGGTATCTCCCTTTTCGGTTTTCTCCCTTATTATTCTGCACAGAGTCCCTCTCCCTTCTGGCCTGTGGTGCTTCCTGAGAATGCTGCTGTTCTACACAAATTTCCCCAGTATATGATGAGGCATTTTGAATTAATTCAATTCCTTTGGTCCTTCCAATTTTTTTTTTCTTTTGACAGTTGAGCAGTGACGCATTCTGGAGAGGGCTTCTCCAGGTTCACAGGGTCGGAGTCCAGGGGGCACCTTAAAGCACGATGCTCATTTCCGTCCACAGATCTGGGGAGGCCACAGCTATCATCTAAGTAAGCTGTGCATGCACCTCTTCTTCTCTTTCTGGGGTCCTCCCGGAGCGTGTGTTGGTGCCTCCATGGTATGCAGGGAGCACCCCACTCTTTCCCCTTGTCCTCAGGTTTGCTTACTATTCCCACTTCTTGATCACGCCTGATGCTGAACTGCTCCGTTGAATTTTGTTTGCTTGGTACTATGATTTCATCTTTAAACATTCTGCTTTTTTTCTCTTCGTAGCTATAGGCTTTTTAGAGAACATTGTTTCTGCTATGAGTTTCGATTAGATAGAAATTCTGTTACATAGGAATATTAAAACATTCACTGTTATAATTGCATATTACATATCTGATATCAGACTTACATCCATAATATGCAAAGGTCATTTATAACTCAACAACAAGGAAATAAAGAACCCAATTCTATGGCTGGAGAGATAGTTCAGAGGTTAAGAGCACTGGCTGTTCTTCCAAAGGTCCTTGAGTTCAATTCCCAGCAACCACACAGTGGCTCCCAACCATCTATAGTGAGATCTAGTGCCTTCTATTGTAGGCACACCTGCAGGCAGAATGCTGTATAAATAATAAATAAATCTTCTAAAAAAAAAAAAACACCAAAGAACCCAGTTCTAAATAGGAGAAGAACTTAAGCAGCCATCTTCCCAAGGAGATAAGCAAATGGCCACCAAGTACAGGAGAAGGTGCTCAGCCTTCTCAGTAGAGGCAAGCTAGAACTTTCCTTTCCTAGGCTGCTGTCAAACAGCAGGGCTTGCCTTCGAGGAACCTGCGGATGAACTGATTCCTCCTGGATGCTGACGGCTCTTCAAATGGCGACAGCTCTAGGAAGTCAGCTTAGCAGTTGCTCTAAAAGTTAGACACAGATGTTACCGAAGAGGCCGTAAGTTCCACTGCTAAGTGTGTATGAAGATAGGACTGTCCCACGGTTGTTCATAGACATGCTGCTCGTCACAGCTCAAATGAGAAGCTACTGAAATGATCGTCATGTGATGTAGGGATACGCAGAGAGCGGTAGATCCACGCGGTGGATCACACCTGTCTGTGACTATTGTGCATTTGTCAGTGGCGGCTGGAGGCTGGAAACAGGAAGAAGAAATAATGGCCCGTGCATTTGAGTTTCTTTTGAGGGATATGAAAATGCCTTAAAATTATATCATGATGGTAACGAACCTATTTCACATGTACATTGATTATACGTGTTTAGCCAAAGAATTTTGTTGAGCATATGTTATGTCTCAAAACTTTGTTTAAAACCTGCGCTGTTGCAGGCCTTTTGGTCAAGACTTCTCAGGACAGCGTACAGTAGCTTTGCTTGTCTCTGAGGACCTGAGGTGGGCAGGCTGTACACTCTACACCCACGTTGGTTCTGACCTTTGGACAGTTGCCCGTTTTTCCTGGGGTCATCAAAACTGAAACTCAGGGTTGCCTGGATTGAAGGAAGCAGCGGCCCCACCTTCAGCTGCTTTGATGAATTCCCCTACTTGAGCCCCAGATGCAGGCTCTTCCGCGTACAGGACAAGTGCTCTACCACTGCATAACTTCTCCCTTAGAAATCAATACTGATTTGCAATCCAGAAATCATTTTTGTTAAGGTAATTTTTATAAAATTGTGTCTGACTCAGTTTCTCTCTCAACCCTGCTATAATCCAAATAATTGAGACTCTATTGTATTTGTTCAGCAAGCTTCAGAGCACAGCGACTGAGCAGTAATTATTCTATTCTGAACCCTCTAGGTCAGTCTGGCTCTTTTTGCCCAAAAACCCCAGAGATACTTACGCTTTACGGCTTTTCCTGCTCAGTTGAATCTTCCTCACATCTCCTGGACCTCTGCCCTTGGCTCAGTCCCCTACTTCCTCTCTCTAACTCCTCCTCCCTGGAGGGCAGGAAGTCCAGCCCTATTCTCTCCCCCTGCTTAGCGATTGGCTGTAATCTGCTTTATTGGCATATCAGGGGCCAATTGGGGAACAGAGTTTACACACCGTTGGGACAGGAGATGCTCAGAACGAGGATTGTAACCAGATGCGGGGGTTCAGAAGTTAGCATTTGATTTACACAGTAACCTCATGCCTACACACTTCAAAGTCATGGCTGCCGACTTCCTTACACCCTTCCGTCCTTCTAGAGCCCAGTCTTTCCTTCCTTTTACCCTCCTCACATCTGATTTAAATTACACCCCGAAAAGGAAGCCGCCTGCCATTGCTGGCACCCTGTGTGCCATTCTAACTGTAACACTTGCTCCCGGGTAAGATAGGCTGCTTTAATCTATTCATTGGGTCAGTGTCAGTTTCCCTGCCTGGTACATAAGCTTCAGGGGGCCGGAGGCTTGCCTGATTGTTTATACCTGGGAAAAGAATGAATCTATGACAAACACTTAAATTTGGAACATATTGCTATAAAATTTAAATCAAATATCCCTTTCCGGGAAATCTGCCTGCTGCCAGAATGTTAGTGGGTTTCTAACTTATCATCAGGAGGGAAAATTTATGTTCCGAGACGTCTGTGGGTGTAGCTATTATTTCCCCAGCGAGAGATGTGAGACGCTTTTCTTTGTGTAAGCTCCACACTGACAAACTGTGGGTACCGTGGGAAGGTTCCTGTCCGTGAGGGTCTGATCATTCTTCCCGCCTCTAGTTGTTGTTCCAGAAGGCGCTGCTGCTGGCGCACACTCCTGAGGGGCCTGTGCTTTCGCTGCACCAGAAATGTTTGGCAATGCCCCGGCTGAGCGCGGTGTCTGAGAAGGCCAGGGTCTTGTCTGTTATCCTCCAGGAGCAAATGGCCTAACCAGGCAATTGTGAAAAGTTGTCTAGACGTTATAGGTGTGAGGTGGAGTGACCGTAGCAGCTCCAGAGGCTGCCCCCTCCCCCTCTGGTGCCCAGTCTGCTAGTGCCGCTCCTCCCTGCTCTGAGCTCAGCAACGTGACCCGCTTGGGCCAGTGCACAAGAATAAAACAAAGGCGCCATGCTTGTGCCTTTTCTCCTCGGCTTTCCCCCGAGCTCCCTCCGCAAGGAGAACTTTCTAGACGCTCCCCAGAGGGCGGTCCACTCACCCCAGCCAGGGCCGCAGCAAGTCCGCGAGCCACAGCAGAGGCTCAAGCGCACCCACGCCGCCGTGGACCGCGGGGACTCAAGCGAAGGCGGAGCGGCGGAGCATGACAGCAGGAAACGAGCTGCAGGGCCTCTGTAAATCACCCCTGGCCTTGGGTAAACTCCAAACTTGAGCAATGGTGGAGAGGTTTCTTGTTCCCCTTTGTGACCAAGCAAGTCCACAAGCGTCCCGTGGGGAGAAAGAATCACCAACCCATCCTTCTCCACAGTGACAGCGGCCAGCAGAGGTAGCTTAATGTAATTACTCCCTACCTCCTGCCCTGGCTTGGCTCAGCAGAAAGGGGCGCTGGGGGCTAAAGCTCGCCACTCCCTGGGGCGGGGTCCTTCTGTCCACGCTGCGGTGCATGCGCGCCCTCGCGGTGCTTCAAACCCAGCTTTCGTTCTCTTGGAATCCTTCCGGGCACCTTGGGGCGATTCATCCTAGTAATTGATCAATTAATTTCCCAAACTGGAGGCAGGGCCCAAGATCTCGTACACTCCAACCAAGTGCTACATCGCTGGCCACAGCCCCGATGCCTCTGTTTCTCTGATTATTATTCGTTACACTTTTCATCGTGCATTTGATTAGTTAATTGTGTGTGTGTGGGATGGTCGGAGGAGCCCCTGCGGGAGTCATTTGTCTCCTCCCACCATGCGGGTCCCAGGGATTGAAGCGCCTTTACCTGCTGGCCCACCAGCCCTGTTGCAGCTTTCCCCCATGACTCGGCCACCAATCTGTTTACTTGTGAGCAAAGGAGACAGGACGAGCCTCGGGATGGCGGAGAGTGTCAGCGTTTGAGTTAGTGTCTAGGAGTCTCAGCCTCGAGAGCGTGAGAATGGGGTGGTGTAACTGCAACGCGTCAGACCTATGATTACCTTCAAAGCCATTAGGATGGAAACTGCGCGAACGCGGGCTTGTGCGCAAAGTGAACACGGAAGCATCGGCTCCCCCAGAACTTGAGCTGCCACCTGACGTGGGTGCTGGGAACAGACCTGGGGCCCTCTGAAGAAGCTGCAAGCACTCTTAACTGCTGAGCCATCTCTCCAGCCCTGGCGATGGGAAATTCTAGTGTGACCCAGTTCCTTCTTTTTAAAACTTCTATGCGTATCGGGAATTAAATTCACTTTGTAGGTAAATCTAATTCATTTCATATGTGGAACTAAATGAAATTTAGTTCATCACACGTAATAAGAGACCAATAACGTTCCCCAAGCCATTTAATTTACACCAGAAATTACGTTAATCATGAATTCTAAATTCATTTTAAACCTCATAATCAGCTGCAGAAAACATATCTATACAGCAATGGTACCCAAAGTTTCAATAGTGTTCACGACTGTGCTTCGTTAGAGGAACATCAGCACCTCTTATGGCATGGACAGTTTTGAATTTCTAATTCTACCCCATGCTTGAAACTGGGACAATGAATCGGGCATTTAGCCACACCAGGGAGTGAGGGTAACAGGGAACTCAGTGAGCTTCCTCCTGCTCTTCAAGGATGATGGGGTTTTCTACAAGCTTTGCTTTGATGGGGTCAGAAGCAAGGAGAAGAGAAACTGAAGTTTGTATTCTTCAAACTGTATCTTTCCCTGGAAGCCTAACCATTTCTTACTCCTAATGAGATGTCTTCAATTGGTCTTCTATTCTCTCCCCAAGAAGAATTGTCCAAAAAGATCCAAAAGAAAAGCAAGAGGCAAAAAGAATTATTTTTCAAAATGTTTATAGTTTGATTAAAACCAATTACTCAAAATACGTACGAACATAAAATGCTTCATCTATTATATACATAAAATCTCAGATCAATACAAAAGTTTTAGGATTTAATACATATTTTAAGAATTCAAGCCTGTTTCCTCAGACCTTATTCCAACAAACCACCTTGCGTATTCGCGTTGCTTTTCCCGCAGTAAGTATTTTCCGAGCTTTGGGGCACATCTGATATGTGAATCACAAATCTCTGTCCGTTGCTTAGGGTTATGAGGGCCTCTTGTCCCACAGGAAGGCTGAGTTTGACCGCGCTTTCGGTGGCCTTGTCTTTTAGCAGTACCTGGATGAGCTGCAAAGGGAGAGTGTTTGAAAGGAAAAGATAAAAGGACACTGCTACACTAGTCCTGTTTGCAGAAGCCGCCTACTCGGACCTGACAGAAAGTGTGTTTACTTTGCTCCTGCTGGGGGGGTCCTAATTTCTCAGGGGAATCCTGGAGATCTGTTGGAGGTTCCGTGGGAGGAACAGTCTAGAGATGAGGCAAGAGAGATGGCTCATGCCAAGCGCCTTCAGGGAGGAGTAAGGATCTGAAGTTTTAGAGAAACACCCTGGAGCGGACACTGTTCCATAAGGCCCCTCTGCCCTTTGTCAAACAGACATAGATTGGGGGAGGGGCCTGGAAAACTGCTGCCCCCGCTGGCTGAACGGGCACTAGACTGTCAGGAGAGGATTGCAGAGGTTCATGGACTCCAAGGTGGCTGTGTACTCTCTCCAGCTGACCTGCCTACAGCCGGGGACAGGGAATAGGGGGGCATGTTTCCCTCAGCCCAGAGCACTTGGAAGATTTACAAAGCTTTGAGCATGACTTGAGAGTGGACACAGGTAGCTCACCACTGGTCTCATTTCATCAACAAATCCCTAGAAGTGAATATTTGTAACGATGTACACACGAGAAATGTTAGAAATGCGAGGCTCACAACAAATCTCTCCCCAACTGCCAATACCGGCCCCCCAAACACACACACCGCAAAACCTGTCACTGGGCTAGTGAGATGGCTCAGCTAGTAAAGACGGTTGCTATCAAGCCTGATGAGTTTGATCCCAGAGATCGACATGCTGGAAGGAGGGAGCCAACTCCCACAAGTTGTCTGCGCATGCTCACTCCCCCACACACGCAGGAAAATAAATATAACAATCCAACAACCATCAGCATCCATACGGTTCTCTCTCTGTCTCTGCCTCTCTCTCACACACAATGAAGGTGAAAAGCACAGCTTGTCTTTTAAAAAGATCCTCTGTGTTTGGTGCTGCCTCGGACTTCTTCCTTCCACATGCCCAGGCGTCGTGGACCTCTGGCATGTTGCCTCGGGACCCTAGACTGGTGTGTCCATTCTGGTGTGTCCATCCAGAATGCTGACTTGGGCTATTGTCCTCGGTGTGGGGCAGTTCTGAAGTGTTCCGAGAACGAGGCGAGGCTGACACGTGAGCAGTGCACGGGGCGTTGACTCAGCAGATGGCACTCGGTGTGTGAGTGTGTGTGTGTGTGTGTGCGTGTGCTTTTTGTTGGTGATGACTGCAGTTCGGAATAATGAGTGCAATGAAAATTAGAGGCGTGTAGCTTTCCGGTGTTGGCTCGTTTAAGCCATTACAGCTAATTCAGCAGGCGTGCAGAAGCAGAGCGGCTTTAATTAATCTCTAATGCGCATTACCTTGGATTATCTGCCGCTCATCTGCTTGTGCTGCTGTAGTACGATGTTCAATTAAGTTTTTAATATCATCTCTATTGTTTCCGCCAATTAAACGTAAGTCAACCCCATCATAATGAACTTCCAGGATCTTCGGGGTGGGGGAGAGTTAAGGGCAGGTGCTCAGAGCATGACGCTGATGGGCGAAATAATAATGACTACGGTTGGCTGGACGTTGTTCTAGGAGTTTTTAAAGCATTTTTCAGCAATTGGCTTCTTTAACCCTTATCTTAGTCCTATGGAATTAAGCTGCTGCTCTGGGTTCCCAGGCAACACGTGAAGAAGTGAAATTCTGGGATCTGTGCAAGAACTGCACACTCACTGAGTTTAGAATTAATCCCATCGGTGAAGAGAGGATGCTGGGAAGGTCAGCCTGCGCCATCAGTGAGGTGACCCTGGGAAGTCTCTGTCATCTGCAAACCTCGGTCACTGTAGCACAGAGCTGGTGGCGCTGTCCATCTTGTTCAACTGTGGCCCAGGAGGTCGCTGCTCACCTCGCTGACTAAACGGGAGCAGCCAAACTGACGAGACCTCTGCCTGGGCACACTTACCCCAGACGCCTCTTCTAGGACTGCCATGCACGTGGAGGGATCTCAGGTAACTTGGGAAGGCCTCACCACCTCTGGACCTCTGTCACGCCCCACGGTTCAGCAGCCTTCCCCGTTCCCCGGGAGAGATCTGGTCACCTGGTCTACCTTCAGGACAATCGTGTGGGGCTGACGTATCCAGGACCATCCTGACGTCTCATGCCCCCTCAGTGATTTCCATTCACTGACTGCTCCTCCATCCTTGTCTCTGTTTTCAGGCGCAAGACCCTGTTCAGTGGTCCTTGTAGCCACCGTGGTCTTGAAGAAAGTATTTCGTGTTTTCGTCAGCTACTTTTGCTCTGTAACAATTCTCATGCTGCAGGCCACGCTCTGAACACCACAGCCCAGCACTGATGCTGGCGCTCCTGTGGGTTCCAGCACATTCTAGAATAGTCTCGGGTGGGCCTGCAAGGATCTTCCAGAGGGCCACTGTCCGGAGAGAGTCGTTCTTTATCGCTTTCTTCCCAGGGGCCTGGGGCTCCTTTCTCTCAACACTCCTGGAACAGTGGCTGTGGCTCTTCGTCATCCAAGGAGACCCAGCGTCGTCCTCTTGCAGTCAGGTCTTTGGCTTGAGGGTCGACGTTCGTTACTTCCTGACTCACTGACTACGTTCACTCGCACCGGGAAGATGCCTCTTTCAGGGAGAAACGCTGCACCAGGATGGCTCCTTGCGCGCTGTCTTTGCGGGGATAACTGTTTATCCTTCCACACGTTGCTTCCTCTCTGAGTCCTTTCACAGCCTGTCTTTTCCAGGCACTCTATTTTCTAAAGAGAAGCCCCACCTAAATGAAGGTATTAAATCTTTCCTTAGATTTATAGAAGCCAGGGCTTCTGGTAAACTTGAGAATGTAGACGACACCCCACAATCTTTAGTTTTTCCTTTTCAGCTGACACAGAGCAGGAGACTGGCAAGTCTAACGTGAAGAAAAGTGATATTTGTTCTGAAAGAAGCTCAGAAGCCGGGCCGCGGTGCCTGAGATCCACCACAGTACTCCAGACAAGAAGGGAAACCAACAGACAGACTGTGAAGATGTGCTTAGAGTTCAGCCTTCCCGCCGTCTCCACTCTGCCCTCCGACCACAGAGCCTGGTACTCTAGTCCCTCTGGGACGGAGCTCTGAGCCCACAGCTCCTGTCTTCTGAAGACACGGGACCGTGAAGGAGCCTGGTTTCTGTCAGTGTCCCCCTGAATGTTGGCCATTTGGAGGGTGATCAGCCCCCACCTCACTCCAGGAATGGCACAGACTATTAGATACACCTGGACTGGAAAACTTACTATTCCAGGATGAAAAAGTGAAGTCTAAGCAGAGACAGACTCTGCCACCTGAAGGACACATTTCCCTGGCTCCCATAGATGATTACTTGTATAGCATGCTGCCTTTTGAGCAGTTTGCACCCTGGACTGCTTAAGGATTTGTTTCGCAGAGAGGGTTCCCTGGAAGGCTGTATTCTGGGGATTATTGGGTGTGAATGGTTTTTCTAGCCATATCCACAGCCACTGCTGACGGGATCATGGGCAGTGCCTGCTTCTAATGGTCTGTAAGTGAAACCCAGCCACGCTGGAAGGAGACCTGTGGATGTCAGAGGAAGACTAGCGACAGTGACTAAGCATCGGAGGAGAAATCAGGGCTGTGGAAATGCCTCCGTAAAGTGCCCGCCTGCAGCCACGGGTACATGAGTGCACGTACAGGAGCTGGCTGAGGAAGCCAGGTGGGGGCACAGAGGCAGGGCGCTCCGTGACTCACCAACCGGCCAGCCTCGCTTAAAGGGCAGGCCAGTGCGAGATTCTGTCTCACACACAGACACACAGACACACACACACAC